TCATACTTATAGAAATATGACTTGAGATCTAATTTCACAAATTGACAATGTCATATTATTATCTATGTATTTCTCAACTTTTACATTAATAAATTTATTATATATGTAAATATTTTTAATAAAATATGTAAATATGAAAATTCGTTGTTAGTAAATATGTATTTCTTTTATTCAATTTGTCACAGTTTATATATATATATATATATAATTAATAATAAATATTTTTGGCATTTTGATATTTTATTCAAAAAAGTTAAACAAAAAGTAAACAATTAGCTAGCCTAATTGACATTTATTATAAAAAGGGATTTTATTGACGTGATTAAAATTTGTCGTAATGTAAAAATTATAATAATTCTCGAGAAAAAAGCAATTATTTATTGTAAATTAATTAATTATAAAATATATTTTGATCTGCAAAAGTTTATTTTTACAAATTTAATTTAATAAATATTTATCGTTACAATATTACAGAATTGTTTATAGGATAAAGTAGGGAAATACATTGAGATAACACTCGACAATGCACGCTAATCACATTGCTAATTTAGCAATGTGATCCGAAATCTCATTGCCATAGGTCAAAAGAGAAAGAAAGAGAGAGAAAAAGAATAAGAAAGGAAAGTAAGAGAATTGAATATCTGTCTAACTACGTATAAAGGAAATACTTGAACTTTACGACAGTAACTAGTAAATTGATGTGGCTGATGCGCAATCTAGAGCGCACGTGTTACATATTTTGATTTGCGGTCGACTACAGTTTAAATCTGTGCAATGTTAATTATTTTAACATTATTTTTGTTTTTTTAATTAAATATACTAACAATTATGTATCCGTAACGATTTACAATCAGTAACATTGATTTCATTTTAAAATACGAAAAATTAGAAATAAGCAATGAAAATTGCAATTTTCTTTTTAGATTCATTAATTAGATTTAGAAATATTAACGAATTGTGATAGTAAAATAGACAAATTGCAATGTCTTTGCAATCACATCTCAATTTATTATTCACGAATATACGTCTTTTCTTGCACAACCTGCAGTGATTTTTCCATACATTTGTCCGACGCGTTCGATATTACATTCAATGTATCACTGACTTACGAGAAAAGATATGTAATATAAAGTAATAAAATAAACGAGATTTAGAAACCATCGCGAGTCATTACGCTTTTTCGTTTTTTGTGTCAAATTGTCCTCTGTGTTTGTTTCTATGTTTAATATTTTTTCCTTACACCGAATAATTGATCAGGTACACTTCAGTATAATATATCCCTATTTTTCTACGCGATTTATTTCTACGCTGAATTTCTCGTTTATTGCAGCTGGACTAGCGGCAATGCAATCGCTAGAATAAAGTATTAAAAATCATATTACTTGTTTGTTTTTCGATTTAGTTATATTGAAGCATAATATACTATTGTCTCTTAGAACGGTTATGCAACTCACAAAAATATTTAAAATAATGGAATTTAAAAATAATTTTTTTACAAACATGAAGATCGGAAGAGCA